TAATAATATTAATAAATAATAAGGAAGAGGAAATTATTAAAAAAGTATTAATACTACTAACGAGACGTTATAAAAGATTATAATAATAAGCCTTAACGTAGTAATTTATTATTAATAACGAGGTAATTAATACTTTTCATATAATAAAAAAGAAAGCCGATTTTAAGTTAGTAATTAAACTATATAAAAAAAGCATAATTATAACTATTAAAAAGCTATATAAGGGATTAGATCTTATCGAAGTAAATACTCTTTATAATCGAGGGGTTTATTAATTTATTTTTTATAACTTAAAAAAGTATATAAACTTTTATATATTTAAATTATAAATAGTTCGTAAAATTAAAAAGAAAGGAATACCTTAGCTATATAAAAAGTTTAAATACGTAATTTAGAAGTATAGTAATATTAAAAAAGCAACGCTATTTATATAATTACTTATTATATAGTATTATAATTAACGATTAATAATAGTACTAATAGTATTATTATAAAAAAAAGAATACGAAATTTAGAGCTATAATATTACTTAGGCTTATACTTAATTAGTTATAAGGTTTATAAAGAAAATCCTAGCTTATTTACTAAGGGAAATAGTTAGTAAGTACTTAAAAAGTACGATTATTAAAGTATTTAAGCTACTATATAAGCTCGTAGAATCGGGTACTTATTAATAAGCTATTTATTACGATTTTTATATTAATTAACTAATAATAGTTATTTTTATATACGATTTATATTTATTAGTCTCGGAGTATAAAAGTAACTAATTTAGAATTATTAAAATATAAATTAATAATATATTAAGCTTATTTAATATTAATTTTATAAAAAAAGAGGATAAAGAGCTTTAAAAAGCGGGTTTTATAATAAAACTAAAAGAGGTTCTTATAATAAATACCCCTTTAGTATTTAATAATAGGATTTTTATTATTAAAAGGGAAATTATTATTTTTTAATAAAAGGGGTAGGGTAAGAAAATTAACCTTATTAATCCGAACGTAATTAATATTAAGAAGTAGTATAAGACTAAGCTTATATAAGGGGTATATATTATAAGTATTTATTAACCCGAGGTAACTTTTAATTATACTAAAATAGTATAAGTTATAAATCTAACTAAATAAAACGTCGAAGTATTTAATAAGTAGCTTAAATAATAATAAACGAATTTCGATCGAAGCCTCGTTTATTACTTAATTAACTTTATGATTAATAAGCTTTATGTTTTTATTAATAAGTTATTTATAAATAATAACGACTTTATTTTATAATTAAAGTATATTATTATTTTAGTTAATAAGAGTATAAATAAGAGCGAATTTATTATATATAATAATATAATTTATTATTTATTAACTAAAAATAAGCGGGTAATAAAAAGCGTATTAGCGTTAGAGGTTTATAATATAATTAATAGCGTTAACCTCTTTTATATAATTTTAATAATACTAAAGAAAATTACTAATTAACTTAGCTTTTTACTTATTTTAATAGTTATTTATACTAATTTATATTTACTATATAAATACCTCGTTAAATTAGGAATAATAAAAAAAAAGAGGTTTATAATTAATATTATAGCCCTTAGGTAATTATATAATAAGCGCGAGATATTTAAGATTTATTAAATTAATAATAAAAATAACCTCGTAAATATTTTTATAAAAGTAGTACTAAATAAGGGGTTAAAGTAATTCGTAAGTAATAGAAAAGTTATTATATAAATAGAGGAATAGGTTATATAAAAAAAGTAAAAAAAAGGGAAAAAAGGAAATAGCTTAATAAACGGGCCCGAGGTCGAATTATATTTTTAACTATAGTAATTAAATCGATAAAAAAAAGAGAAAGTTAATATTAAATTAAAAGTTTAATTCGACCGTAATATATAGCTAACTATATAGGGGCTAATTAGGGGCCCTATTTACGATTATTATAGCTAGCCTAACTTATAATTAGAACCTCCTTTTTATATTTATTATATAGATATTTATATAGTTTAATTAATCTCTTTATTAACTACGGTTCGAACTAACTACCCTATAATAGGGATACTAACAGAATCCTACCCCTGATTAAGCTTCGATTTTCCTCACGCTAACCTATCGCTCGATACAGGATCACTATGTACTTCCGACGTCTCCTCCACATCATCTGGCTCTTCACAGTTGTGACAGCGAAGTGGATCGTTCCGGGCGCCCGATGGCATGACACCGATGGAAACATCTTTAACGCCCACACTGGTAGGCTTGCCATTGATTAAGAGACTGGTAAGTTTTACTGGTTTGGGGAGTAGAAGGTTGAGGGGTAAGTTGAGGGCGGTGGAGTTTCCGTATATAGTTCTGACGATTTGGCAACGTGGACTTCGCTTAGCAATGACAAGCTGGTCATCGGGGCTGTCATGACTCCCAAAGCTATAAGGACATAACTTTGCGAACACTCTCGTGAAAGATGTCTCGGCAAGACCCGAACCTTTTCTGGCTACACTGATTTCGATTCTTAGATATGGGGCCTGTCACGGATTGAAAACTAGTAATTCCTGATATGCGCGCACCGGGTATCTGTTCCTCTATTCTATTCTCTTGTTTGAGATATTGCTACCTGGCCCTGACTTCGTCGTAGTTGTTATAAAGAGAATACGGGGCATGGGGTGAAATTATAGCCTCGAAACGATAGACATCGCTGCTAGTATTATGCTGCTCGAGAAGTTAGCGCCACAAAGACATGTAGCTTATCTTTTAACAGAAATGTGGTCGTAAAAGCAGTAATAGCCCCTTGCTGAGTACAAAAAACGTCTAGATGAGACGCATTTTCATAAAAAGGCACTACCGTCGAAGTTTGGTACCACACAGCAGTAGCTCTTATACTCCGCCTCTAAGTGACTTTCTGGAATTAGAGCAGAGCACACTTATAATGGAGTGTTTAAAAAAGACTAGACTCCCCTCTATCTAAGCTTGCAGTGGCGGATCAAGGATGAATCTTTATCGACATAACGCGACCTTTCCCATGCGATTTCGGCTACCTCTTTGCTACCATCTACTGAGAGGACTGCTCACACATCCAGTTCCCGGTTCACATGATCGACGTCACTTTAATAGTGGCTGAATCTCAATAAAAGTTTCGTGGTCGGGCCAGGGAACTTTCGAGCATACTTGATATAGGAAGGACAAACGACAACAAACTCTTGAGCGGATACTAAACTCGACCGGGCTCATTGATGATAGGAATTGGTCAATGACAGAAGAATTGATACGTTGTTTCGAAACGTGGAGACAGGTGTTCCCTAACTACATCCGTCATAATACTAGACTGACAACGACGTAGTCTCACTAGGAAGTTCCTTTCATTCAACAGCAAAGCTCTCAAAGCTCTCAAGGCTCATGAGCGATTGCATTGTTGAGCTTAGGCGTACTGAGAAAAGTGCTGGCCTTATGCTGAAAGCACAGTGTCATGACCCCGGCCACACACTAGTCTTTCCCGTCTTCTAGCCCTAGTTGCTGCAATAAGTTCAGAAAGTGCTGGGGGTAGACAAGCGCCTCGCCGCGTTGGAGTTCAGCCGCATCCAGTACCAGCGTGTAACGTTCCAAAGACGCTACGGCCGACGTCTAATGAGGCTTTAATGTGGCAATGCTGCGTTGAACTCTCCCCGCGTTGTCCATGTGTAGTTTGCGTGCTCCACTACTACCGCCAAATCTAGGCGCCGCGCGTTTCAGACGCGTCAGGCCCTTTGCTAGTTGAGGGAATGGTTTCAAGTGTGAACGCTTCCTCAATAACTGATAACTTATGAGGAAGTTGCGGAAATCATGGCAATCCTCTTCAAGAGCGTTCTAAGACTTTCATAGCCAACTACTCTCGATTGTGGTGATGTCTGAATATCAATGATGCCTCCAGACACTGGGTGCATCACCTGATCGTGAGCATTCAGAACGTTACCACTCCATCCCTCACAGCACAGCCTTTCATATCATCACTTCATGTCTAGAGAAATGGTTTTGAGCCGTATCTAGTGCAGGTCTGCCAAGCGAGATGTTGTTTAGTCTGAGCTAAGGGGTTTTATGGGTTTCGCTGAAGTTACTGCGATCTATCTCTTCTTTCGCAAAGGGTATGCGAACAATACGACGCAAATGCCGCCTTGTCGTTCCTGCGAACACGAGTCTATTAATGTGGCCTTATTCGGGAAAGTGCAAGAATAGACTGATGTGACGCATGCAAGGTACACTAACGATAGTGCAGCTTTATCTTTGTCCGCTAACAAACCTCGCAGTGCATTCCAACCTAAGGTAGTCTCGGATATACCCATCGGCCTAGTTTGCATTAACCTGGTGCGGTTTTTGGTAAACCCATACAGCTATGTTGTTGGGCTTTAAGGCTTCACAAGCTATCAGCCTTCCGAAAGCGCTGATGGGTAATGGCTGGTGGCCAGCATGTTTTCCCACCGACAGATACCCAAATTGAAACCACTTACTGTCTACCGTCATGGATCTAGAGTACTGAATGGAATGATACACAATGAAAAAAGTTTGGCATGTTTGAAATGAAACCTATGAAACAGAGTCAGACACGAGTTCAAGTCACACTCTAATAGGAAATAGATGAACTCAAGTCTAAATTAAAGCATTATATCCGGTGCTGTTCGGTAGAGGCTGGCTGTTGGTATAACCAAGGTCCTGTATTATCCGGCCAAGCAAAAGTATCGCTCCAATGATGCCTTTGGCATGAGAAAGGACGTAGACAAGACTGGGAGAGTAGCCGATGACGAGAACCATATTGTACAGCCAAAGCGTCTTAAGTTTACATGTACCAATTTATCTTACTCCAGGTATGCAATCAGTGTTATTCAACTTATAAGCCTTCTTGAAGACCTTGATCTACGCGTTTTGATGCTGAACGTTTTTCAAGAATGTTATCCTGTTGCTAGCAGTTTATGCTTTCATAAGAATCATCAGCTGTCAAGGAGCTCATGTGAAAGCACCGAGCTGTACCTGTAGGCCAACAAAAGCTCAAGTAACAAAGCTCGACTGATAGTTGTCTTGAGCAAATGGTTCCTCACCTCTTTCTATCCGCCACCGATTTGTCGCCTCTAACGGCCCCGGCAATCCCTTGAACAACCACCCCCATTTCCTCATAAACCCTTCCGACATCTCCCATCCCGAGATATCCCAAGTCGGCGACCACGCAATCATACCACGTCGTTCCATTTCATCATCAGGAAAGCCCTCATATAGTCCCCCGACGCAGTCTGCCCACAGGTCGTCCTCATCAAAAGTGCCAGCGGCCTGGATCAAACTATCTCGCGCCTGCGGACAAGGAAACATATCGATCCAGTCACTGTGAAGCACTGTCTGTTGAGTGATAGTGGGTAGGAGTGTTGAGGGGAGAAGTTCAGGGTTGTTAGGGTAGGGAACGACGTGGAAGATTTCTTCTGCGCAGTCTAGGGGTGTGGCGAGGATGTTTGAAATTAGGGTGCGGTTGGCGGCCATGGCGCGTACGGCGTTGTATTGAAGGAGTGTAATAAGGTGGTCTGGGCAGAGGGGAAAGATAATGTGGAGTTAGTTCTTCTTAGATCTCTCTGGCAGAAGGGGATTTCTTGCGTTGTATAGATGTTTAACACGGGATGCTGGGACTGTGGAGAAGGATTCCTGCTTGACATCCCAACATTCTACCACAGCTTCTAATTTGATGAGTGATTTGGCTGCGGCATCGACTGCTTCGGATTTGTTTGCTAAGGCTTTACGTTTGCCTAGTAGTAGTAATAATAGTAGTAGTATTTAACATTATCAGAGACAGGAGTATAACCTCCGATTAATTAGAGCGCCTTTCTAAGGCATATAATATACTATACCGCCCCTAATAAGCATATAATAAGTCAGATAATCTATTAATATATACTTTTTTTTTTATACCTAGGCCGGGCTATTACTAATCCGGCCCTTTTAGTTCTAAAAAGTACGCTAATAAGGGTCCCTATACTTAGTAAAGGTAGTAGTTCTATAATAGCCCTATACTATTTATAAATAGTACCCGGCTACTATTAAAAACCTCCCTCATAAATAAAATTATTTATAAGAGTATTTTTATATTTTCCTATACTATCCCGAATTATTTAGGAAATCCGGGCGTAAAAAAAGAGGGTAAAGTAGAGCCGCGGCTTAGAAGTCGTTAGTAAGTATATAATAAAATATAAAAATAAGTTACCTTAGGCTCGCTATTTTTAAAAAAAATAAGCCTCGTAATAGCGCGTTACTTATTTAAACCTTTTAAATATTACTAAATTTCGTATTAAGGCGTATTAATAAGCTCCGGCTTAACTTATTAAGGGGGGTAAAGGACCTAGATCTCTCTTAATACTAATAACTAGCTACTAGGCCTAGGTCTAGTAATTTTTTAAATAGTATACTATATAAGTCGGTAATAGCTTCCTCCTATAATTATACTTAAAATCGCCCTCGTAACTAAACTACTTATAATAAGAATAAAAATAGCTATAGCTAGATCGTATAGCGAGGAGGTAATATAAAAGAGGGTATAATAGGTCTAATTTTAAGGGGTATTTAAGGGCTATAGTAGTTCTAATATACTTAAGCTTAAACATCTACTTAAACTCTTTTTATTATTATTAATACTATTTATAAGCTCGTACTTAGGTAGCCTTTACTAAGCTAGTATAAAAAGCTAGTAATAATAAACTAAGTAGCTTACGGGCCGCGCCCTATTTAATAAACTTATTTACTAACTCGTTTTTAAAAATCTTAATATATCCGGGGGACTAGTAATACTTTATATCCCTCGTTTATTAAGTATCGATAATTTTTAATATAGCTATTTACGAGCTAGTTAGAGAGCTACCGTAGCCCGAGATAAAGTCGAAAATAGAGGTATTATTAAAATAAATATAAATAGGAGTAGGGGTAGAGGTAACAATAAGTAAAGCTCGCTATAAGCCCTACTAAGCACTTTCTACCTTAGTATTAAAAACCTCGGTAAGCTCTCTAAGTTAGCTAGAGCTTTTTATAATAATAATAGTACTATAATATATTACGTACCCATAGCCTACTAACCCTTTACTAAATATTAACCCGTTAGAATAGACCACGAGGTTAAAAAACAAAAGCTCCGTAACTATTTACTTAAAAAAGGCTATAGTAATATCTTTAATATCTTTATATAGCATAAATAAATTTAAGAAGATAAGGACTAGCCGTAAGTATAAGAATAGGAGCGTATACGTCCACTATAAACAAGTTTCCCTCCTAGCGCCTTAAGGGGTTCTTTTTTTTAATTATAATATTAATAAATAAAGCGTATTTATATAACTAAGCCTTATAATAGAGCGTAGTCTCGCCCCCTCTAGAGTAACTACGGTAATTAAAAAACCTAATTCCCTAAATAATAAGTCCGTTAGTATAATATACTAGGCCGGGGTTATTACCTAGGTAATAAAAATAAGGACCCTCTAAATAATAATAAAGTATCCTTTTTAATTAGTATTTATAAAAAGCGCGCGGGGGGTAGTCCCCGCTTATATCTTTTTTAAAAAAATAACTAGCTTAGTACGGCTTAAAAACTATACTTCGGAGCTATATATAACTAACGGTAGTATATAGGCCGTTATTACGAGCCGGGCTTACTTAGGGAGCAGGCCCTTAATAACCTTACTAAGCCCGTAAAAAAAGTCGGCTACTTACTTCGTAACGATAATTTAATACCTAATATAAGTATAAAAAAAGAGGGTCTTATTAAACTAAACTCTAAACTAGTATACGGCTTTAATAAGGGCTACTAATATAATTATAAGCCTAGTAATATAAATAACTAGCCATTCCGACGGCCGATTTTTATAATATTTATATATAAAATATACTACTTCGCACTTAACTAAGTTAAAAGTAACCTTATTCTTAGTACCCTATTTAAATATAGAGCTAACTTCGCTTCTTAATATTAGCGCATTCTTTTCTAAAGTTAAAGAGATCGCTATAAAGCCTATATTATCCGTATAACTAAAATAATAATTAGGATTATTTAATAATACCTTAACTAAATAAAAAATATATAAAACGAGAGACGTAGAGGAGCCCTATAAGAGGCCGTAGTAAAAGAGGAACTCCTCTAAAAACTTCTTATTTATCCTAATAATAGTAGTCCGCTATATTATAAAAGACCTTATAAACTTAATAAAGGTCTCTAATTAGCTTTATTAATAAAGCCTAAATATAAATCTATTCTAAAATATAATATTAAACGCTCTTTTAACGTTTATTATAACTAAGGTTATAATAAGGCCGTTCTTAAGTACCTCTTTTATATCGTATATAGTATACGTAACTAAGTTAATAGCGCTCTACTTAAGTAAAACCCTAAACTATTACTTATTAATAACTAAGTTTTATATTATATAGTACGTAGCCTACTTCGTAAAAATACGCTCGAGCCCTTTTTTTAAATAAAATAATAATAAAATCGGCCTATATAAGCTAAGGTCCGAGAGCTTATAATTTCCTCCTTTCCGTATTATTATAACCTCGGCTTATTTAAAAAGACCTAGGTAATAACTATAAGTAAAGTACGCTTTAAAAAGGGCCTTAACGAGTTCCGTAATAAAACCTTAGTAACTAGCTAATAGCTTCGTAATAATCTTATTAATACTTAGTAATATACTTTACGTAAAAGTATATTATTAAACCTTAGTAAGAAAGATTATAGTTTATTAAAATAGTATTTAGTATAGGATAAAAGGGATTAAATCTAAGTTATTTATATCGTTATTTAAAATAAAGCGCTCTAAGAGAGCCTAATAAAAGGCGTCTATTTTACTTATAGTATTAGCTATTTCCTTGCTATTAATTTTTTAAAAAAGGCTCCTTTATAACTAAGCCTAAGTTTTACTACTTCGTAATTATAAATAAGTCCTCTAGCTTCTTTATATTCGCTATTTTTTAAGATTAGTACGCCCGTTTAATACGTTTAGTAATATTAAGCTAAGCTAGTTAAGCGTCCTAGACCTAAGAGTATAATAAATAGTTAGAGTAGCTTTAGGAGTAATATCTTTTCCGCTACTTATACCTAGCTTTTAAGTATTTAAAGCGTACCTTAGCGCAGTTCTAAGTTTATTACAGGGCACTATAGCCGTACTAATTAATAATAATCTTAATAATATTTAGTATAATACTAAGGGTCTAAAGGATTTCGGTTATAGTAATATTAAACTACTCGGGGGTAGTATATCTAAGTACGACAAGTAAGGGCCCCTACTTTACTAAAAAAGTAAAGCGGACAAGGTCCTATTCTAGTACCCTTAAATAGCTCTATAAGTCCGGTTTAAGGAGCTATAATAATAAGAGCGTTATAAAAATAGCTTTATAATCTAAACTTATATATAGTTATAAGTAAACTATAACTTAAGCTAATAGAATATTAAAAAAAGCTAAGTTTATAATATAACTTAGCCCTCTCTTATTCTTATATATTACTTCTTTAGTTTCCCTAATATAAATAAGTTTATATTCCTATACTTAGCGTAATATAAAGGTTCTTACTAATTCTAATTAAACTCTAGGTTCTTATATTTCGTATTAAGAATTAAAATCCCTTATAATAAGTATAAAGGGGGAAAGTTTAAAATTAAAAAGGGTAGTAGTAATTAAGTTAATAACCCTATTACTAAGCTAATAAATATTAACTATAATATACCCTCGTATTTAGGTTTATAAAATATTTCTAATAAGTATAGGTCTTAATTACTATATATCTAAATACTTACGAACGTAAATAAGTACCCTTAGCTTAGTATTAGCGTCTAATTAATAGTTTACTAAATAAAAAACATTATAGCCTAGGTACGTATTAAGTTTAGTTTATTTCTTTTCTATTATTTAGGGTTTTTATATAAGCATAACGTCTATTTCGTACTCTTAATAAACTTAGAAGAGGTTAGTATATATTATAAAGCCCTTATTAATATTATACTAAATAACTAATAAATTTAGCTTAGGCTCTATAATCTTCAGGGTATTATACTTCTTTTTTATTAAGTTATATAAACGTAATATACTTTTAAATATCGTAATTAACCTTTTTAAACTTTACTACCCTAATCTTAGTATTTAAAAAGACCTAAGTAGAGGATACTAAGCCGTCCGTATTTTAAATTAGGGTAAATCGTAGTAGTTTAATAAGGGACTTAACGTTTTTAAGCCGGGCCTAGGCCTAGGCCCTAATACCTCGTAGCTTCGTAAATAAAAAGACTATTATATATAATTAGGATAGCTCGTTTATTACCTATATCCCTTTAGCCTCTCCGGCCTTTCTTATTTCTATTTTAATATCGTTATTATTTATTATAAACGCGCTAAAAGAGATCGGTTAAGCTAAGGGAGCTAGATTTAGGTTAATAATAATAGTCCTAGCTATACTAGGTTTTCTAAGTAGTAGCTAGGACGGGGGGTCGAATTTAGAGCGCCCTACCTAAATATACTAGACCTTTTAGAGCTAACGCTTCGTAAAAAGAACGACTTTCCCTTTTTTAAAAATAGGCTTTATAAAATAGTTCTAATATATAGCTTAGAATAAGCCGTAATAATTAATATATTTAATAAGCTTTAAATACTCCGCACCCTTAGTTTTATAATCTACTTTACTATACTAAATATAGCGGGGAGACCGGGTATAGTAATAGCTAGTATAAAAAGCTAAATAGCCTTTAATATATTATATAATAAGCTTTTAATATAATAAAAATAGCCTAGGCCTATCGGAGTAGTTAAAAAGTTAAAAAATTTTTAAAACCTCGTAGTTAAAAAAAATAATTAGAGTTTATATATTAATAATAAGGTCCGGGCCGGGTCTAGTAACGTACTAGGCCCACAGTACGGCCCCTATCTATAATTTAATTTCTTTTAAAATAACCTAGCTTACGTTAATATCCGCTATATTAGAGTTATAAAGCTCGAAATAGGCTCTAAAAACCCTAACTAAGTAGTATAGTACGAAATAAGTTTACTATTTAGCTAGTAAATCTATACTATCCGCGTTTAAGTATTTTTAGAGTTATTATTTTTATTAAAAAAGTTTTTATTTAACTTCTTTAGAGCTAGGGTATATAAATAGGCCCGTAGTAATATACTTAATATTCGTTATAATAAAAAATAAGAGATCTAAGTCTTAAGAAATAGCTCGGTATAAGGAAAAAGTATTATATTACTAAGTCTTAAAGAGCCGTTTAGTTCTAATCTTAGTTAAAAAGCAGAGGTCCGGGGCTAAGGGCTTTGGGTATAGGTCTTACGAGCCCCTTATAAACTAGGGTATATTAACTAACTTACCCTAGGTTATTATAATAGCATAGGGGGTCTATTATACCCCAGGCTCGGATCGGGCTAAGCTAAAAATAAAATAAAAAATAAAGTTTTAAATAATAATACGGATATATAACTTAAGCTCGTTTAAATAAGTAATATAAATATTATTTAGGGCCGTAATAAGGAGCTAATATACTTTATTATATTTTAATTAAGTACTCTTAGTATATTAGAGCGCTAAAATAATAATAATAATAAGTACTTTACTTCTTTATAAAACGCAGGGTCGGGCTAAGAAAAGTATAATTAGGTATAATAATAGTACTATATATATTCGTAATAAGGTTAAAAAGGGGTTAAGTAATAAGCTCTTTACGTATTAAGAGCTTATAAGGCTTTTTTAAGGCCTTATAGGCGGCACACCCGCGTCTAATTACGAGGCTATTGCGGGTAGGTAATAGCTATTTTAGGCATAAGAAGTAGTATTAGGGGTAGGGTGTAGGCCCGGGTAAGACACTAACAGTGGGTGCCTCGCTCAGGTGATGCGTGCGGGAAGTGTTTACGTTTGCCTACTCGGCTATTAATTTCGATAGCTGAGTAATACCTGGCGTGAGCCTCACTTACGGTATGCTCTTGTGTTGAGTCTAGTCTGTGCTTTTCTTCTTGCTGCGGCATTTGTGGTCCCAGTCCAGTCGTCTTGTCCACTTGTCGCCTAAATCCGGTGAGCAAGGCCTATCATGATATGTCCGAGCGGCACGTACCTCGGTCAACTGCGGCATGGAGGAGAGTTGAATGCATGGTGCCGTTGTCATCGTGCTTCTATCGGACCACGAAGCCGGTGATGAACGATGCAAATTCCCTGAGGATCATGTAGGATGCTCGAAATCACGAGTCTGGCGCTCGGGAACGGGGGAATCGATGTCGACCATGTCAGCAATTGAGGCACAGACAACAGAGGCTAGTTGATGCTTTGATGAGATATCATTGGTCAGTCCACCAGATACCAACTCGAGCCGGTCAAGTGTCATGCAACCTGCTCACCTCCATGGCTGACAACTAGGAAGCCCCATATTTTATGCAGCTGGCTCACTTCCTCGGTCAGCATTTTCCTATTGGTCCATCAACTCACCCTCAACCCGGATATTGCATGATTGGTTATCGATCATGCAGGTTGCTCACAACGCTTGATACCTGCAAGAAGATCCGAGATCCAAGTATCCTGGAAATTGAGCAATCGAATGGATATAAATATGGCAGCACCGACGCAGAGTCTTTGTGTCGTCCAGATCATACAATTCAATCAAACACATTATATCATCTCCTTCTTACCATCATAACTCCATAATCCATACCTCAACTTCACCAAGGGCTCTTTTGCAATATGAGCTTCCATCCCGACTCTCTTCCTGACCTTGATGGCAAGGTCTTCATAGTCACGGGTGGTAACTCCGGCATGCAAGTCTAACCCTCGACTAGCTTATCTACAAGTCCAAATCACTAATGTTTCCACATCATAGGGGCTACTACACCGTATCCCACCTCGCAGAACACGGCGCTCACGTTTACATGTGTTCCCGATCCCTAGAAAAAGGCACAGAAGCCATTGCGAGCATCAAAAAAACACACCCCTCGGCCAATATCGACCTTTTACAAATGGATCTTATGAACCTCACTAGCGTTGTCGCAGCAGCCAAGCACTTCCTCACCCTTGAGACAACCCTACATGGCCTGGTCAACAACGCAGGTATCATGGCGGCACCGTTTGACATGACAAAAGACGGGCACGAAGCCGAGTGGCAAACCAACTACCTGTCTCACTGGGTCTTCACAGAGCACTTACTCCCAGTAATGCTCAAGACATCGAGAACGCTTCCTCCCGGCAGCGTACGCATCGTCAACCTCACTTCATCAGGTCACTTAGGCGCACCCAAGACTGGCATCAACTTTGACAACCTGAACCTCAAGGATGAAGGCCCATGGCAACGGTACGGTCAGAGTAAAGTCGCCAACATTCTGCACGCCAAAACCCTGCACAAGATTTACGGCCCCGGCTCAGAGAATGATGAGGGCGAAATTTGGACTTCATCCGTGCATCCTGGTCTTGTTGAGACGAACCTCTCGACGTCGGTAGAGCCGTCCGAGAAGGGCGTGTTGAGCATCCTATCGGCCTTGCGTGTGTTCAAGATGTTCTGGTCTGCCGACAAAGGCTCGTGGAATAGTCTGTTCTGTGCGGCAAGCCAGGATATGAAGGCGGAGCAAAGTGGTATGTACACTGATATCTATCACCGGTGTGGTGAACCATGGTGGGAGAGTAGTGCGGCGAGGGACGAGAAACTCGCTGAGAAGTTGGACAAGTGGACTAGGGATGTGATGAGTACAGAAGGATGGATTGAGTAATTGTGTCGTCTATTCTTCTCATTGGGGTTATGGTTGGTCTTGCATCTGGTTTCTTTCGATCGCAGTTAATTGAGCCTCTAGGCTAGAATTTCGGGTCCATTTATACACTGCGGTTTACAGCTATTGCTCCATCTGCTTCAACAGAGCAGCGTTAGACTGCGCTGTCGAGGTTAATCGCACCTGAGGAGCAAAAGCCCTCGGCAACGATTGGGCCGCACTGTGAGTGGCAAGTGAAGGCTAGCATTATACCGTGGCTCGTTGGGCGGCTTCGTAGTAGCGAATCCAGAAATGCCAGGATCTAGGTTTGAATAACTAAGCGTAGGATGGATCATGCTTGGTAATTTTAGGGCGTCCTCGTAAGTTTGAACCTTTGCTCGATTACTTGAGTCCTTTCCGCCAGCAACCAAAGCTTTGGTCATTCTAGCTGCCGTCTCAGTCGCTTTGACAAGTCGGCTACCGTTATCGCCGAGTTCCATAGGACCCTAGTCTCAGCCATCCTTCGTGGCCCCGCATACACCGAGACGTTCAGCACACACCTGTCTGAGTTCTCGTGGAGAATCAAAAGATTCTGAGCAACAATATATTTGTACATGGTTGATCAATAGGACATGCAGTCACTTTGGGAAAGCCGCCATGTGTGGCTCTCAATAGAAATAAACGAGGAATCCGGAAGTCTCCAAGTAGTATGGCATGTTATCCACGACCTTGATGTGTCAGTTGAAGAAAACCAGGATGCGATTTAAATTTCGGCCAATGATTCAATGCAGAAAACCTGACATTTGGAAACCTATCCGTGGAAAAACACATACCTCCAGATACGCAGGGACTACCGGGCTGGTGCATCTTCGGTGAAGCAAGCAGTGTATTAGCGGCCTCTTAATAATCACTGTTTCTTGCCGCTGATACGTACGGATTAGGACTTTTTGGAAGCAAGGCTCCTCTGGGCAATTCTCCTGAGTTGTTGCATCTTCAACGGCGGCCCGGCGAATTTCTACATCCCTGTCAACGTCCCCCCCAATGATAAACCCGCCGGCTTTGGCTTCCGATGATCTGCACTCCAGGCCTTGGCATCGAAATGTAGAAGTGTATCACTGTTATCCGATAGCCTCGAAAAGAATAGGCACCGAGCAGTGATAGTGCGAAACCCAGTTCACCACCACAGTCGTCAAAGAGAAGGACATAAGCCAGGAAGCACAATCTTGGCAAAAGTCCAAACACTTGGGTTCATCATTCGTTTCCAGTATTTAACTACAGGCGTGCAAATGAGGCAATGAGTCCACGCTCCCGCCAGAAGACAGTCCTCGTAACAGGGTAAGAGCGAAGCATGATCCCGATGGCCCTCACAGATCAACCAACAAAATCACTAGCTGTTCCCCGGGCGGTATAGGTCATGCACTGTGTCAAGCGTTCCGGAAACAAGGTATCGTCCGCAGGAGAACTAAACAATTCGATGAATGAAGAGCCGTTGACGTGTATCAGGACTCTATGTCATCGCTACAGCTCGCAGAGAAGATGTGATCGCTGAACTAATTGTCGAAGGCTTTGACGCGCTGCAGTTGGACGTGGCGAGCGAGGAGAGCATAGCTGCCTGCCATACAGAAGTCCAAGATAGAACGGGAGGCAGGCTGGATATCCTGGTCAACAACGCGTAAGTACACGTAAAGCGGCATCCTCAACACTTCATTCCTTCATTCGATCGCACCCTTTGTTAATGCCGCCGCTCGCGCAGTGGACGAATTCACATCTCCCCCGCCACAGATCTATCCATCCCAGACGTCCGCGCCAACTTCGACACGAACGTCTTCGGCATCATGGCGATGGTCAAAGCCTTCGCGGACGATCTCACCGCGGCCCAAGGCCTAATAATCAACATCTCCTCCTGCGCCGCCGTGACGCCGTACATGTTCGCATCGGTCTACTGCGCCAGCAAGGGCGCCATCGCAAGCTACAGCCGCACTCTGAGGCAGGAGCTGCGACCGTTTGGGGTCCGCGTCATAGTCGTCGTGGCGGGCACCGTCAAGTCCAGGATCGCTGAGAAGCCGCAGCCCAGTCTCTCGCCGGGCTCGCTGTACGCGAAGATGAGCGATTTGTATGAGCGATACGTACACCTGAGCCAGGAAGGGGGGGCAGCGGATACGGAGGATTTTACGGAGGAGCTGGTTGGGAATTCGCTGAAGCCTGAGGGCTGGCTTTTCGGGCGGTCGGATTGGTTGTGGTGTGGTGGTATGTCGAGGAAGATATGGTGGGCATTACGACTGATTGGGGAATGGGTCATTGATTGGCAGACTTGGAAGATGTTTGGGCTGGAGAAACTATAGAGATTAGTCGAGGATGAGAGAATCGCGAACGATGCAAAGCGCGACTAACTGTCATCATGTTTCTAGATCATGACCTGGAATAAGTGGTTGTTCGTTATGTTGTCGGCTTACTAAGGTATACTAAGGATCATAGTAAAATGTATCTAATGAGAGGTTGGATGCTGAAGAAAATACGCAACTTACATCGCTAGTTTGAACGGGCAACTGTTCGGATGAAATTTTCGCTGAATAAATCTGATAGTACCAGGAAGAGTCGTTGTTTAACATTTCTAAGGGGAGATTTGCCCTATTAAAGGGCTTCTAAAGTATTTAGTACATCAGGTGTATCGCATGTCTAATAATTATTGTAACCTCCAGCCATTTTTTACCCGCCCAGCATCGACAAAGAATTATTCGTGAACTGTACCGCCAGGTAGCTGTGTCGCAACCAGGACATCGGAGCCAAATTTGCTTCCCCAGAACAGAGAACGTGCTGCAGAGAGACCCAGAAACAGACAAACGGACTTCAATGCCCCGTAGCTTCTGATGGGTTCTTTTCCCTGGTCGGGTTTGCCGCTTCCACATTATCCTGGTTGCCCAACTTGATAGCCGAGCCTTCTATTCTAATCCACTCGATCCCGAAGGCTAGGAAAAAAGCCACACCAGCTGAGGCAACAGCGACGAACTTTTCAGCGACATGTTAGCGAACCTGGAAACGCGAAGTCGGGTGTTAGAGATAGGGGCCTCACGTGTGTCTGAGCAATGGCAGAGTTGTACGACTCCATAATGGGGTCAAAAAGCGAGGGAAAGTATTTGTCCACAATGGCTCGTACGTTTGCGATACCGCTCCGGTAAAGTAGTTGTATCTGGTCGTGACTCAGCGCAGCTCGCGAGGCGAGCTGGCTCTCCAGACGCGCGTGGAAGATGGCACCGGCAATGACCTGCGTGACGGTAGCCCCAAGGAACTGGGCAAAGATGTTGAGAGAGACGCCGATGGGCAGGAGGTCGGCGCGGTCCTTGAGCGCTAGTTGGACCATTAGAGATGGCATCTGCATGGAGAAGCCGACGCCCAGGCCCTGAATGACCTGGAATCCGATCCATTGGCTCAATGGGGTATTGGAGACGGTGAACTGGGTGTATAGAGCAGCGGCGGTGCACATCAAGACGGGCCCGACAAAGAACCAAGGGTTGTAAAAACGGATTTTGAGGGCTGTGGTGACGCGTCAGCGGCCATCATGTGAGCGAGGGAATTGGGAATGTACGAACCGATTCCACCTGCGCAAATCGTTCCTACGATTTGTGATATGACGGACGGCAGCACCCTTATGCCGCTCTCAAAGGGACTGGCGCCCTGGACTGCCTGGAACCACTCCGGGAGGTAGTAAGACGAGACGGATAGAGCACCAAGATGGCAGAAGGAGAAGATGACACTGAGCAGGACGGTGCGTCTTGTGACCAGCACACCAGGGATCATGGCCAAGTCTCCCAAGCGCGATTCCCAGATGCCGAAGAGACACAGCATGACGATTGATCCAACCAAAAGGCCAATAATCGTTGCCGACTTCCAAGGATACGAATTCCCGCCCCACTGTAGGGCGAGGATCAACATGAATATACCGGGGACGAAAATGAACGACCCAACGAGATCCAGACTCAAGATTTTCTTCATGGTGGTCGTTGGCTTGCCTTCTCGTTGCGGCAACTTGAAGAAGAAGAACATGGCGAGCAGGGTGACGGCGCCACCGGGTAGATTGATCCAGAAACACCAGCGCCAGGTGACCTTCTCGGTGAAGGCGCCGCCGATGATGGGGGCGAGAATCAGACCCAGGGCAAAGCAGCTGCTGCACAGGCCGATGTATAACGGCCTACGCTGGGGTGATGATATGGTCAAGACGACGGTGAGCCCTCCGCTGGTGACCGCAGCTGCGCCGATGCCCGAGACGGCACGGCCAACGATGAAGACTTCGCTTGTAGATGCCCAGCCGCAAATGGCACTACCGACGAGGAAGACGAAGAAAAAGCCTTGATAGACCCAGCGGAGCGAGAACACACTGGCCATTTTGCCCGCCAAGGGGGTGAGCGAGCAGACCGCCAAGGTGTAGGCTGCTGGATACCATGATATGTGTGATGTGTTCTGAAATTCGGATGTGATGGAGGGAATGACCTGGCAAGAGCAAAGTCAGATATTCCCCCGACTGGGAAGAAAGAGAGACAGAAATGCGAGAGCGATTGTGTGTATTGCCGGGGCGACGAACCGTTCCGATGACATAGACATCGAGAGCCATGACAAAGGCGCCGAAGCAGACGCCAATAAGAACCATGTATAGCTTGAAGCCGTGCAGCTCCGAGGAGGCGACGCCGAACTGCTTGATGTTGTCTGCGTTGTTCGTCGCGGACGCTGGCGCCGATTCTACCACGGCTTCGCTCGCCTCACCATTTCTGTTTCGGCCATCTAATGGCGATGATACTGATGCTATTGCAGTCATCCTTGTCTTCAGCCTTCAGCTATATTTGTGTATGGAGCGCTTAGATAATAACGGGATATGACAAAAAGACAAGAGCAGAGAGCGAGAAGCAAAAGAGAGGAGCGACAAGATCTGCAACGATTCTAACGTCGAGAAACTTTTTTTGATTGAGACACAAGGAATATTGAATGAGGTTGGAAGGGAGAACCGATCGAAATTCGCCGGTTCAGCAGCATATTTGCCAACACTTGTCTGCCTGGCCTTTCAGGATCCAAGCGGCACAGCACTTCGGCGTTCAGCCCTTCATGAAGTGCCCTCGGCAATTGGCTGTTTGCCCAGTTTTCGTCCTCTGCTGATTCTTCCATTGGTGCGGCAAATTACAAGAGGTACTCTGTGTTACGACCCAACATGAATAGCCAAGACCAAGGCCTGACCCGCAGGACCACTGCCTGCGGATATGGCGTATGTTATTCCGATAAAAACAAAAGAGAGAAAGAAATGACTCTTAAGATTTAGGAAAATTCTAAATCAATCATGTGAAGATAAATAAGATTATGAACGGTCGTAATAGGGCTACAAGTACTGATATCAAAGAATAACCGCTTATTTCGTTTAATGACGAGAAGCCCGACTTATGCAAAAGGTAATGGCTACGTGGAGTGTCTCAAACATAGAGGTGAGAATCAGGCCTCTTTACGATCTTTGAATCACTACCGTTGAAGATTTCTTGACGGAGGTATGGAAAGACTAGACAAAGGGCGTTTGGGGAAACTGGTGCTCTGCTAGCTAGGTGATATTGCATCGATAACGCCGGAGTCAAACCGTGTATACCATCCAAAATTATTCTTCTCTAGGCTTTGATCTAGCGTGATTGCAGAATGCGACTGATATCAAACTGGAAGACAGCCCTGAGAATGATTCCGGCCCCGCTCAGGTACGCTGCAGATGCCCGTGCCTGTTGGCAAGCCATATGTACTTCCCCTCTGTCCGTTCGTAATTACTCTATTGGGTGCACTGCACATCGTCGCAGCACGTGATTCGACCGACGTTGAGATCGTTGCATTGAATAGAACCACAGAAGTTCTTCTTAGCACCGCCTGAGCCGCAGGTCTTGTCGCACTTGATCTGTTGGCAAGACGCGCTAACACCGGCGGTATAAATGACGGCGGCGACGAAAGCAATAGTGATATTGGAGAACTGCATGTTGATGATGTGTTTCCGTAGGGCTGGTTGTATCTTGAGAGTTTCTTGGAGACCTTGCACGGCGGTCAGTCCGAGGATCTAGCTATTTTCACGACTCGGAGATCTACTGACAAGAGGGCGGTAGTGCCGATAGTTCTGGGGAATGATGATGAGTTGATGTGTACAAATGATATGGATTGTGGAATCCGCAGTGCTGAGCTGTGGATATCGTCTGTTTTATACTTGATTGACCGTTGAGAACAAGGAGATCCGGAGGGATTCTGAAGTTTGATACTAGTCACTCCCTCGAATGCATCGAGTGTCTAGCTGTTTGGAATGGCATACCCTGTCAACTATCTCAGTAGTATCACTCTTTGAAGAATCATCCAATTATGAAACTAACTCGGAAGCCATGCTTAGACATCGCAAACCCCTAGCAAATGCATTGCAACAGGATAGCGTATAAACTAAGCGAACCCTTCCACCCCAGCCGCACATACCGGCGACTTACAGCTGTCAGACGAACATGAGACGATTGTACCGAGTCATGCCATAGCTTTAAACTCTTCTCTGAAACGCGAGCAGAACAAGGGAACATGTCGATTCAGCTGCCTAGCCGTGTTTTAAAAGTCCGCTGCTAGCTCGCGGTTTACGCAATCCCATTCCGCCTTCGCGTGTCAAGAACGTGACAAGAATAGAACCATGACAGGACTGATGGTTCCCTGGAGACATGAATGAGCCTCTAAGGCCGGCATGGTAGGCCTGGAGGTTGCCGGCCTGGAGGAAGGGACACGACTCAGAACGAGCAATCTGACTTTTGCTGGATCACTCGATGACTAAGATCATTGGGTCAGTCTGGTGAGTTGAGCAAGCAATGAGCCAGATGAGTCGACTTCACCAACAGGCTGGGGAGATGAACTGTTTATCTAGAACATGCTGAAAACTCGGTTGGTAGCATTCGCTGAGGACAGGTCTAAAATCTTTAATGCAATCTCAGTATTCACACAGAGACGTAGAGTTTTCAGTCCATCATCACGCACTGCCCAGAGTAGTGACACCTTGAACATTCCCTGGGCCTTTATAGTTTTGTGGCTGCGTGACCTCGTTGACAGGGAGTACGAGACTCAGGCACGGAATCCATGGATATGTATCAAGAAGCAGATTGCTAGGACGGACGCCAAACGTGACCACGGTGGTGCGAGGTATGGGCGATAGCTCATATCCATGTACTGAGTGTACGATCCCGTGAATGAAAAAACCCTTTCTGGACTTACTCATGCTTCTGCTTAAGTACGAGTCAGGCCGCATAAGGTAAGACAATCACCGTAACGATTGTGCTAGGGCTGCCAGACACCAATTATCTCTGGCGACAAATATCAGTTCGAATTTTATAAGCATCCAATCCTTAGTGTTGCTGGGCTCTCTTTGTAATACAACAAGAAGGAGGCATTCTTTTTAAGTCCTGGTCGGTTCTCTGCACTATCTTAGACCACGCTGCGTAGGTCAGTGTAGTCAGCTAGTGTTTCGCTAAGGTTGAGGACTCAGATCCTCAATTCGACAAAGTCCTAGACAGCATTAACGATATTAACCTCACATAGAATACAACCTACGGAGAAGGTTTGGAGACACAACATTGTTATCCCCGATTATCAAACTATTTTGGATCACACTGTATCAATTATGTGCCTCTTCCATGCCCCAACTCCAAAATGAGACCCTGGGCTGTTTCCGAAGAAGCTACGAGAAACAATACTTCCGCTCATGTACCTCGCTTTGAAAGGGAAGTATTGATCACGGGTGCCTTTTGAATCTGTCAGCAGATCAACCTGCTTCAATGGCCCAGGGTGCATCGCCTCCAAATTAGGCAGGATTTTACTGGCAGGTGTACGAAGTCCGACATCCGTCTGAGCTAGAAATTAACGACATGTTCCGGAAGGTCATCTAGTACCAGTTTTCAGACGCAGAAACTTGCAAGAGTTGGGAGCAAGGTAGTATGATGCGTTGCATCACACGAAATGATATGGCGAAAGCGTTCCCAATGGAACCAATTGGGTATTCATTCTCCCCGTATGTGCAACAAGTTGCTTGCCAGTCTCCAAGACACCAAAAGCTGCTTTTTCAACAGCTTGCGTCCGAACCAAACGAGGCTTGAGATATCTTATCCTTCATTCGAGGGATAATCGTCGGAAATAGGCAGATGTTCCAGGAGATGGTCAGATTCATAGAAGACAGGGACATCCGGCCGGCAGCAGACGATGTGAAGTTCTCATTAAAAGATTTCAAACTGGCCATCGGAAGGCTTCAAAAGATGGAGCACTTCTCTAAAGTCATCATAGAAGTTTAGTCCTGGCAAATACTGTATGGATTGCAATTATGAGGTCTGAATAGAAGACAGCTTGTCCTTTTACACATCCTCTCATCATTGAGAGGGTAAAAGCTGCCAGAAAGATAATGACTGGTTTCTGCGTCTAGCATAAGTGGCTAGGAAATCACGTTCAAAGTGGAAGAGGAGAATTCGATTTCTCCCCAGAGTATTGTTCTGGTCGTCAGAACTGAGTTTGTATCAGTAAGTTGAGTCATTGTCACTAAGCATCCGGTCGCTCACCAGGCCAGAACGCGTGCTACATAATTGGTTGCTGTCCTCCTCCGACCTAGACGCGGCGTCCAATGCCATCAAGCAAGCATAGGACGAGGTGAACCAGTCGTCCGATGCCTTTGGCTTATCATGTCAGTTGCCCATTTGAATAGCGTGAGAGGAAGCTGATGCATTCAAGCTCAACGCCATATGCAAGCCGGCCTGCAAGAAATGCTCTAGCGTTTCAACGCTCCAGTCCGCCGGTGGAACGAAATACTTCATCAGATGACTGATCGGATCGACCGTAAGCCCTCTTTCCTAAGCACCCCGACTCTGCTAACGTGCAGGGCTGCCCTGCAACTACAAGCATGTTGCACTGATGTAGCAGTTCAAGAGAGCTCCGGACGTTTGCCAAAGACGCTCAAGGACCTTTACCAAAAGATATCCACAAACATTGAAGAATACGAAGCCGAGTCGCATCGGCGAACTACCCAAAATGCCCAGAGCTGGCTACTTTGCGGGAGGGAACAACCGTATCAGTAGATTTCCTTGAAGCAGTAACTAATGCCCTCACGGCATGGGCTCAGTTGTACGTTCAGTTCGGTCTCTTGAAGCTGTTCTTCAGAAGACAAGATCACACGTCACGTAATGTCTGATCCTCCGTTATGCTATCGTACCTTGAGGCTGCATACTTGTGCATTCAGACAGACGAGGAAGGTAAAAGAAGAATTCGAGATGTCCACAAACACCCTCTTACATGGATAACCTCAGAGCGAGGCATCTCTGCAGACTGAGACTTTTCTTGGAAAAGTTTGACAGTTTCTTAACAGTATCATGAAATGTGTTACCCCTGGTTTTGGTCGAGTAAACCCAGCCATCCTTGTTATGTTTCTCGTAATGCAACTAACCCCTCTCTCCTTTACCTACTGGGTACTAATCTCTTCAACAGATCCGACATTAACTCTAGTCACAGCAGGTTTCTTCTTATCCTTCTCGTTGACACTTGCCACCGATGAGACATCCGTGTCAGCTTTATCACCTGCATCCAGCCCATCAACACTCCCGCTCGCACTCTCGTTGCTGGACGACGTCTCTGTGGACTCCTTGGCCAGCTCATCCGCCGTTACGCCCGAGGATGTCGGGGCAGGACGACCACCGACACGCTCCAGCAGCTCCGCCGGCAGCTTATTGACCACGAGACGCACAAGGTCCGCAATAGACGCGCCGCCCGGGATCGTCATGACCGGCACGTCTACGCCCAGCTCCTTGAGGAACCACGAGCGCATCTTGACGGCGACCAGGCTGTCGACGCCCATCTCCACGAACAGCGTCGCGTCGTAGATGCTGTCGGCGTCGGGCAGGAACTTGAGCGCCTGTGAGTTGACCTTGAAGGTGGCCAGGAGGATGTTCTTGACCTGGCCCATGGTCTTCGCCGCCTCGAGTAGCTGTCGCACGGGCACGGCGTTGCCGTTGCCGCCGCCGCCGCAGCTAGAGAGCTTCTGTCCCATCTCAAGGATCAGCAAGCCGAGACGGGGGTTGCTAGACCAGTAGGCATGTTTGGCATGCTCGGTGGTGATGGGGACGATGCCGTTTCATCAACTCCAGAGTGTTGCTTTAAGTATAAGACAAGTTGCTAGAATACGAACACAAACTCTTCATTCTCCAAATCCGTCAAATTGTCGAACGCTCTCGCACCAACATTCTCCTCAGCCTGCTCCTCCCCGGCGGCAGCCATCTCGTGCCCATTATCCCCAGCTATCTGCGCAGCCTGCTCTTGCTTGGCCTTCTCAGCCTCGGCCGCGGAGAACAAACTGGTGTCGATGATGACGGCGCTCTTTCCCATGGCCACACGGCGCTTGCTGTGCGAGCGGTTGAGGAAGGCGAGATAGAGGCTGACGAGGACGACAAGCACGACAATGACACAGTAGAGAACGAGATTGGACGTCAGGCCGCGGGTGTATCTGGGTGCTTCAGCGGGCTTGTAGAGCAACGGCCCAACGACGTTGCCAACTGATTGGCCAATGAAGAGGACGGCAGATGTGCACTTTCGCTTGGTGTCGCCGGCTGTGTTTGCGGCTGACCAGGAGTAGATGAGGGGTGCTGGGCATATGTCAGTCAAAGGATATCAAGTTGAGTGAGTGTGGGCTGGAAAGGCTTACTGATTCCCGGGTAGACAGAGATGAGATAGTATCCCACTAGTCGAGCGGCTTGCTGACCGCTGGTGGGAAGGACCATTAACATGACGCAGCCAGCAATGGGCGGGACGCAAAGCCCGGCAATGACTGGGCCCTTCTTATGGATCTTGGTAGCTATCCACGAGCCTCCGACTGTGGCGACGAGCTGGACAAAGCCAAAGGGAATGTTGAAGAGGATGGTCTGGAAGGAGTCAAAGCCAAAGGACTTGATGATAAGAGGGCCGAATGTGGAGATTCCACCAGACGGGATT